GGGGCTGGGGCTGGGGCAGGGCCCGGTACAGCGAGAGCTTTCTCCTTGTGTGTGCCGGGTCATGACACAAAATACATTTATTCCTGTGGGCTCCAGTCAAAGAAGTTAGAGAGTCACCACTCTTTTTTGTTGGTTTTGTTAATCTTCTCCCGAGGACACTTCCTTCTCCATAGGTTTTTAGAGAGAGTAGCCGGGAGGGAAGGGGGGAGAGGGAGAGAGACGTTGATGTGAGAGACACATTGACTGGTTGCCTCCTGCAAGCGCCCCGACAGGGGCGGGAGTGAACCCGCAATTGAGGTACGTGTCTTTGACCGGGAATCGAACCCACGACCCTTTGGTGCACCGGGCGACACTCTAATCACTGAGCCACACCGGCCAGGGCAGAAAGTTACTGCTCTTAAGGGTCCAGAGAGCACAAGCCGGGGCGGCCGGGGGATCTAAAAGGTGCTGGACTCTTTCCAGGGCCCCTGGCCATCGTCTGAGGCTCTCAAAGGGCTGCAAGCACAGACGGGGAGTGGGGGGGGCCGAGCACAGAGGAAACTGGCAGGTGACATCAGAGGCCTGGAGGAGACAGGACTTGAACAAGGTCATTCGTCAGGGAGGCGGTGGTGACCTGCAGGCCTCCTGGCTCCCACCCCTCGCCAGCCCTCCTGCCCCAACCTCAGCCAGAGGGGCAGGCACCTCCGCCTAAGCCGCCTGCTCCCCCCTGAGGACTTTGGCCCCGTGAGGTCCCAGGCTGGTTGCCATGGAGACGTCAGGTAATGAACCAGCCTGGGGTGAAATCACAGGCTGCTCCTTGCCCAGCTGGGACCCAGCCACGTCACCGCGGGCAGCTGGAAAAACACAGCACTTCCCGGGCGCTGGGGGCTGGGGTTCCGCCTGAGGGGCCCCCAGTCACAGCTCCCGTGGGCACCTCTCTCCCACCCGAGGGAGCGGTGGGGGCACCGCCTTCCTTTCTCAGCCCGCACCCTACTCCCCCTGACCTCAAGGTCCAGGGCTCCTTCCCACCCCCCACCTCCTGGGGCCACAGAAGTGACAGGCCTCTGGTTGTCATGACAACCCGGAGGGGCCCATTTTGGTCTTCCAAAGAGGGGGTGTCCTGCAGATGTCTCCTTCCGAAGACCAGCCTCTCCTCCTCATACTAAGGACACGTCCTGCCTCCCCGTGCCAGCTGCTCATCTGCTTTTCGGGACCAGTCACCCAGACGGTTCCACCTGATGTCTAACCTAACCCCCTCCTGCTGCAAAGCTCCCGCCCCAGTTTTCTCTGCTTGTTTCTTTGGTGCGTCTGCAGCATAACCGCTCAGACACTCACACCTTTAGCTGTTCTTTGGCGCTCGTGTCCCAGCCCATTAATCATCGTGGCTGCCATCTCCCCCCAGAGGGAGGGCAGGAGGGCCCACGGTGAACCCCGCCCTTTCCCAGCAGCCCAGAGAGGGTCAAAGCTGCTCTAGAAACCACACAGTAACCGATCAGCAGCCTGTGCCCACAGCCCCTCGGGAAGCCCTGCCCCGGGCAGCCGCTGGCTTCCCCTCTAAACTGCTCAGGACCCGGCGGCTGAACGCAGGGCGCAGTCCCTCCAGCCCTCCCCTCCCCTCCCCGGGTGGGCACTGCCGGCTGGACTGTCCTGCGCCAGGCTCTGGCCTTGGCTCTGAAGAGAACACAGGGGCTCAGGCATTTTCACAGCTCCTGCCCTGGGGTTAAATCTGAGCCCTTCGCTGCCAGCTCCAGGGCTGCGGGCTGTGGCAGCCCCCGTGAGCCTCAGGGTTCTCGTCTGTGAAGTGGGAATACTGCACGCCTCCGGAAAGGGCTGCCCTGAGGACGGGGCGCCTGCCATGGATGCGCTTCACAAACGACACCTGCTCGGTCCCTGTCCCCTCCCAGACCTCACATTCTCTTTCTGGACCAAGGAGCAGATCTGGGTCACCACTCCTCTGGTCCTGTCCCCGGGGCTGAAGTTGGCCTTGGGGGCTCTGCAGAGGGAGGCCACCCAGGGTGAGCCCTTGGCCTCTGCCTGGTGAGTCACTGATGGCGACAGGCCATCCTGAGCTTGGCAGAGGCTCAGCCTCGAGTAGACAGAGTGCCCCCCAGGACATTTATTTACAGGTCACCAGGGCCACTGTTGTGGCTTTATCAGTGAGCTGGTGCAGCTCAGAGCTGCCCAAGGGGGTCCCTCTCCATGCCCAACCAAGGACAGAGAGAGACAATGGGCTCCTCTCAAGAACCTTCCAGATGCCCCAATTCCTTTCTACTTCCTCTGCCATCCTGTGACCCAAGCTCTCTGAACACCCTGCTCTAGCCTCACCTCCTTCAGGCAGCCTGCCTGGATTGGCCTCTGCTATTAAGCTACTCCCTTACCAGAAGCCCTAACGGGCAGAGTCTGGTCTGCAGTGATTTGCTGTCTGTTTATTAAACACCTCCCATGTGTCGGGTACTGTCCTAGGCTGTTTCACTCACTAGCTCTTGGTTAACCCTCACAACGACCCTGCAAAGTAGGCACCGTTAGGCCCATTTTACAGATGGCGACATTAAGACTCAGAGAGCTTAGATCACTTCTGCAAGGTCAACAGCTGGCAAGTGGCAGACATGGGGTTCATGCCTAGGCCAGCCTGAAACCCCAAAGCTTGTGCTCGGGCCGCTAACCAGTGCTGATTTTCTGAGGCCATTTTCCCAAGTGTGTGTGTGTGTGTGTGTGTGTGTGTGTTAGTGTCCTGCCACCCCCACTAGATGACTCCAAGGGCAAGGCTGTGTCTCCCTCCTCAGACTGTGAGCCCCGAAAGGCCCCATTTATTCCCTCCTCAGTCTCCCCACAGTGCTCAGCGTAATACTCTGCTCCCCGGCTCTGCTGGGAGCCAGGGAGACAGGACAGGGGGGTTGGGGGTCATGGCCAATGGGCCTTGGGCACTGTGGGTGGCTGTGGTGGGCCCCCTTGGCCTGTGTCTTCTCCCAGATATAATCAGATGTCTGACCTTCCAGAAGGAAGTCGTCCGTCTCCAATCTCTACTCTTAGCTCCCCCCTTCCCCAGTACCCGGTGCACGGAGACCCCAGGGTGGGTGGGGCCAGGAGGCTGACGGGCTGGCCCGGAGGAAAGGCTGGGGCTGGCAGAGAGGTTCTAGTGCCAGGGGCAGGGGGTGAGCACTTGAGACCTTGGTGCTGGAGAGAATGGGGGGCACATGTTAAATCCCCCTGCTCCATATGGATTGTTACCAGCTGTGGCAGCAAAACCCAAACCAAATGTTGACCACTTGAGTCACTCTGGAGGGCTGCTGCTTTTAGGCACTGGCCGCATGCTCAGTTCCTCTCTCCATGTGGGAGACGAGAGACCGCAAAGGGCAGGGGCTCTAGGCTCAGGCTCTGGGGTCACATGGACCTAGAGCCAACTCCTGTCTCTCCGTGGCTTGCTGTGTGACCTCAGGTAAGACTCTTCCTGTCTCTGAGCCCCATGTCCCTCCTCCCAGGGTTGAAGGGCAATTAACTAGGTCAGGAGGGTGAAGGCTCAGCCTGGCTCAGGATAAATGCCCACAATGACTTAAAAATAAATAATGACCACAAAATAGCTCCCAGAAACAGCATTTGCTGCCTTAATCTGGTCCCCATCACTTCCCCATGTCCTAGCACCCTGAGTGCCCACCACCTGCTACGTTTCCCATGAAAGGGTCAGGGCTTGAAGCCTCTGTAGCTCCCCCTTTCCCAGCCAAGAGGGTGTCGATCAGCCGTCTGTGTAGGGGGGCGCTAATGAAAATGAAAGTAGTAGCTAACACGAGTGCCTGGTGTGAATTAAGTCACTTAATCCCTTCCCAGCAACCCTAGGACATCAATACTGGTATCATTCCCATTTCAGAGATGAGAACACTGAGGTACACATACGCGGTTAAGTCACTGGCCGAGCTCACAGAGCTAGTGCTGCTGGAGCAGGGATGTGAACCTGGGTGGGCCA